AAGCGGCGGTGACTTATGCGCGAGTGGGGCTGCCTGTCCTTTCTTCGCGGATCTGTATAATGAGCCACCTTTGAGTTCTTTTTCCAGCCTTGGATGGGGAATGTTTTTGTTTTACCGGTGTCAAGCCTTCTGTTTCCTTTCTTTGTATAGACAAGGTAAGGTGGGTAGAATTGAATTGTGTGACAGTTCTGCCTGCTGGCCGAATTCATGGAAGAGGACCACAGTGTCTCTGGCGCCTGATGTCAGAATTGCTCATTCTCTTTGAAAGTATCTGGGATGCCTTGACCATTGGGAATTAACCGAGTTCTCTTTTGTAGAGTTCGGTGCAGATTACATTTGAAGAGAGTCCTCAGTTACCACCAGCTGCAAATATAAGTGATGTGATGTGCAAGGAGCAGTCAGACCACAGCATGGTAAGGCTTTGCTGTTCTGAATTGTACAGTGTGGGGTTTCTCCATCAACTGATGGTACGTTCTACGCAGATTGCCGAGTCCTGTGTGACAGGGGTGGTGGAACCAGGGAACTTTTGGGTGAAGTCTGTTGTTGCATTTGGAGGACAGTTGACAGGCTCGTGAGATTGCGGTGCCAGGGCTATACATTAGTGAGCTCTGGGGGAGCCCCAGGTGTGTATATGGATGCTGAGCTCGACTGTTGGGGTTGTACAGTGGAGAGGAGAAGAGAGTACCTGTCACTCATGTGTCTTTACTGCCTCAGATACAGAGTCTGAAATGGCAGGTTTGCAAGGTGTAACTGGGTCTGGGAGTAAGCCTGATGTTTCATTCCTGCCATGGATTGAAACCTTGCTTATTGCTTTTAGAGGTTTTCCATCGCAGGGTTGCCTCTTGCCATGGCTATAAACTCATCTCCTTCCTTTTCTCACCAGGTGCTGTCCTGCCGTCTGTCTGCTGAAGCTGTGAAATTCCCTGTCTCTGTTACTCAGCAGTCCCCAGCTGCTGTTTCTGTGGACACCTATCATGTCACTTTGGCTGTGCTGCAGGCTCAGGTAATATTTTGAAAAAGTTAGCTATTGAACTTGTTTTGTTTTGTTTTTTTTACTTAGTCCCATACCAGTAGAGGAAGGAGGACTTGAGTTAGCGCAAATTTGCAACCTACATTTATCAGCTCATCCCTGTTTGATTTTGTCCCTTAGTTTCATGATTGTTTAAATGGCTTCTCTCTCTCTCCTTGGTGTTCAGTGTGCCTGCTGCTGATCTAGTCATAGGCAGCAGCTGTGGCTGCATTTCATTTTTGCATAGCTCTGAGAGCCAGGTGGTCTTTGTCATACCTCATCAAATTGCTCCTCTACTCACAAGTGTTTTCTAGGTCTCCTTGTCTGCCTCTGCTGAAATTTTGGGTTGGCTGTTCTTGTAGAGAATTTTGTGTGGTATTGTAATTGAGATCTTGCTGCTGCATTGCAAAATACTGCTTAAGTTACTGTGAGCCAGTTGGTTGAAGTGCTTCACTGTATTCCCAAAATGTGCCTTGCCTCTTTTATGCACCTCTTGTTGGTTACTCACTCTGTCCCAGATCTGTTGCTTTTGGCTGACAAACCTTCTGTGTTCTTGGCAAATAAATGTCAGTCCGTCGGTTACTTTAGAACTACATTAGTTTTCATTCCCCTGTTTTTACTAGAGATACTGGGTCAGGAGTTCTTTGTGTGTGGTTCTGTCTGTTGTGTTAGTGATGCCTTTCAGATGTCTGAGCGTACAACTTTTCAGCTGTACTATGTGTTGTACACATGGGATGGTGTACAGTCTGGTTTATTTTGGTGAGCTATTGGTGACCTGGATGACTTTTATATCTGAGGATCCTCTCGTAGAAATGCATTGCTAACTTAGAAATGGCCATGAGTAGGCTTAACAATGGTTAATTGCTGTAGCTTAGTGAATACCCTGTTTTAGTGCCTGACTCACTCTTTCACATTTTTTTGCAGACTTTTACTTCAAAAATAACATACTGCTTTTCATTCTAATGCTACCTGGGCATCTAAAAGCAACCAGGAAGCCAGATCTCACTACGAAGGAGTGAGGTTTCTGCAGCTGCTTCTTCATTTAGGCCAGGGACCACTTCTGTTCTTATGTTCTGTGTCTTACTGTTGTACTGGTGTGATGGCCTTTCAGTTACTGAATCTGAAGCAGGGCAAAAAGCACTTAAGGGAACAAGCTATTCCTGAGTATGGATATTTGTTCTGGGCCAGGTGGAGATCCACTTGGAGGAGATACAGAACGAAGGTCTCTTGGTGTCATGGACATTCAAGGACAGACCAGACTTGAACCTTTTGGTTCTTCCAAGACTTCAGCTTCATGAGGTGAGTGGCTAACACTGGGAGCAGAGGAAAGATGGTATGGCCAGAAACAGCACTGAGCTGGGAGGAATGCTGCTGTGGAGCGCAGAGGCTGGCAACCAGCCTTTAGGGTGAGGGAGGGCATTCTTTTGCTCTGGAATCATACTAGCTCAGCTCTGTCAAAACAGTGCATCCTTAAGAGGGCCAGGGCAGTACTGACATCTTTTTGAGTTTGCTGTAACAGCTGAATGGGAGTCTGCATAGCAGAAAAGGCTTTCTGTCTATGTAGATACTCCCGCTGTTGTCAGATGTAGGGCTGCAATGTTTTGGTTTTTTCTTGGTTTATTTGTTTGGGGTTCTTTTGAGAGGTTACTGTGATTCATGGCTATTTAAGGAGCTGACTGTGGGCATGCTTGTGCTTCTGTGATGCAAATAACTTGGTTGGTTTGTTATCCTGAATAAAGGGACAGTGATCAGGATGTGGCAAACTGTAAAAACCATATTGTCAAAATTTGTAACAGGTAGAGTACAGATGTAGAAACTTAGTTGATCTCATTTACTGAACTTATATTCACCTGCAGCTGTTACATGAAAGCTTTAAGCACTGGGGAGAGCAAATACCGGAAGAGTGCCTGAGAGGTTATTACTGGGAAGACTGTGTAGCATCTTAGAGGCTCTATAGGCAGTTAGAGCTGTACAAGAAGAAAATGCGTCTGCCTCATTATGACTTTCCTGCATTTCCTCTTGATTTGTGGGGAGAAGAATGAAGGGCAAGTGGATCTGTCCACCATAGAGGATCTGATTGAGGATACCATTGTCAGCACGCAGCCAGCCATGATGGTGAATCTGAAGGCCTGCACTGCTGGAGCCGTTGTGGTAAGGCTCTTGTGTCATTCTTGGGCCTCAAACACTATTTCCTGGGGTGCATCTGAGGGTGGAGACTCAGGCATGAATCCAAGGGTTGAGACTAACTTCTGGACAACAGCCGCATCCTGGCCTGTGCTAGGAGTTGGGGGTACTGTGCCACGGGGAGTAGGGATAATTAGAAACTGTTCTGAAGGCCGGCTCCATTTTTACCTTTATCCTGAGTTGCCTGGGATAGAATCGTAAGCCAGCCATGGAGGGTAAGCCATTAGCAGTTTGGAGTTGATTGGGAGCTTAAGTCAGGGTGCCTGACCCAAGCTGACTAACAGTTGTATCCCATACCTTGAGCATTCTGCTCATTATAAAAATGAAGGTTTGCTGAGGATGAGGAGCTCCTCTTCCCAGGGCTTCTCCTCCTCCTGCTTTGTCTGCTCCTGAGGACTGGGCCGAGTATAATTCTATATGTTTTATGTTGGCATTGGTATTAGTTTAGCTAGTTCATTACATCCATTTTCATTTCAGCCCATGAATCTCCTATGCTTTTCGTGATTCCCTTTCTTGGCTGCAGAGGGGTCATCAGCTGATAGAGGAATGGCTGTAGTTTAGCCCAGATATGGGCTGAATGTAGACAGCCGTGTTTCCTGAATGCTGAGTGCTGATTGTGTTGAGGTGGAGCCAGAGTGACTGAAGTGCATCTCTGGTTTGGCACCCTTTCTGTTGCTCTGCACACGAAGGGTCTGTCCAGGGCAGGCTTTACAGGTGTGGAATGGTCCATAGTTTGTCATCTTCAGTTGTCAATCTGTCAGTCAGCAGTCTCGTTCTTGTCTGTCTCTTTTCTTGTCTGCCTTAAATTTACCATCTGAAATAACATGAGGGCCCACTGAAGGTTGATAGCTTGAGGAATCTGCAGCATCCCTGTGGATGTTCCCCTGTGTTGGTGTGAGGAGCCACTTAGTAGATGCAAGGAAGAATGTCCCGTGTCTTGCTGCTGTCTGCTGGCAAGTGAACAATCAAGACACCAGTCTCACTCTTGTCATTCCTCAGGTACCCAGCAGTAAGTTGATTCGAGAGTCCCGGTCTGGAGTAGGAGCAGCCCCTCTGTGCTCTAAGCTGCTACTTCGGAATCTTCGAGTGCTGAACTTGGGCTGCCAGGGGAAGGGAGGTAAGAATGAAAACATTGCTGATCTACAGGGACAAGCATGCAGGTGGTGAGACTGGAGTGAGTGGATGTTTTGGGCCGGTTTGAATGAAAGGAAGGGGTGTGCTTCTGCCAAGCCACTGCCTCGGCTTGGTGAGTGCATGCATGTGCTCTGTACCTCTGTTGCAGGAGTTGGGGAGATAAGCTGCATGGCAGAACTAGACAGCCCCCCCCAGCAGAAGTGGACGAGGCCAGTGACAGCTGTCAGTGCCAGTGCAGCAGCAGAGATGGAGTGGAATGAGGAGCTCTTTCTGTAAGTGTCTGCCCTCCTTCCAGCTGGCACAACGGAGGTAGACTGGCACAGTCACTGGGTGTCATTATTACACTGCAGTAACTGATGCGGATGGCACAGAGATGAAGTCTGCACTGCAGCAGTGTATGTTTGTGCTGCCTGTGTGCTGGGCTTACCTGTTTGGCTGGGTGGCCCCAGCTTGCATACGTATTTCCAACTCCTCTGGCTGCTCTGGATGGGCAGAAGCACTAACCATGGGCAGCATGTCCGAGCAGCTGGTGCAGAAGGCCTGGAGCTTTAATCCCAGCCTCCAGATTGTCCTCTCATGTTCCACTGAGAGCCTGCACAGCCCTGCAGGGGATACCAACTAGAGTTCTCTGGTGTAGTTTGCTGCCCCTTGTTGTGTCCTTTAAAGCAGTGCACTTGTACTGGAGCTTTGGAAAATGTGATGAGGCATGTGAGATTTGAGGGAGGGATGATATGTAATGGGTTTTTTTGCTCTGTGGCTGTTCTGCAAAGAATGCCTAATATCAGCGTGTCTTTTTCTGTTTCAACAGGGAGTTGGGACCAAGAAGTAAAGAGCTGAAGCTACAGGTGCTGCGGAGCTGTGACGGAGGGGGAAGTGAGTATGGGTAGTCATAAGATGGGATTGTAAAATGAGGAGACAAAAATACATAATGTCTGACCTTTGAGCCTGCGATGTGTAATGCACTTTGCAACAGGTTTTTCATATCCAACTCTATGTGAGTGTCTGACTGCATGAAGAAACTGGAATTTGTTTTTCTTAGTGAAATACCTTCCATTTTGATACCTGGGATGTTCCCATGGTCCTATCCATCTCTACTTTGAAGCTGAGAGAGGGATGCATGGATTTGCCTATGTGTACTGGAAGAACGTTGCAGAAGGCTCTTAAATCTGTTCATTTGAACTCAGAGAGAAACCGCAGCACCTATTGTTGATAGAGGCTGCACAATGGCCAGCTGTTTAATGGACTTGATTTTTGGATGGGTAAAGAAGAATGGAAGAGTGCTGCTTGCCCCCTCCCCATCTCAAAACTTGCAAGCTACCAGAGTTGGGATTTGTGTGGTTGGCCTTCGGGGCTGCTTCCCAAAAGCAGGGTTTGATTAGGAGACATCTGAAGTGCTGAGGTCATGTGCTGTGTCTTGTTTTCCTGTTCCTTCTCGCAGATGTAGTGCTGGCACATGCCACACTATTGCTTGATTCTTTGGGCAAACAACCATCTGGGAGACAGGTCTGCTCACTGGCCCCAGGAGCTGGGCGGTCACTGGCGGCTGAAGCTACCTTTGAATTGGAGGTGAGCTCACGACTCCATAAACTTGGCATAAACACATGTTCCAGAAGCATTCACATGGTGAACCTCTAGCTAGAGTTGAGTGTAATTAGACCTGGGCTTGTTGCTGGGGGCCATCAGACACTTAGGCTAAGGAGGAGTGTTGCCTGGCCCTCAGTCCCTGAGCCTCCCTGTGTTCAACTGACATTGTAGTGGGGATGGCTTCTTGGTGCCCATAGCAGTAGCTTTATTTCATGTCTAGGAGGAAGAAAGTCTCTCTAAGCTGTGCTTTATTCTTTGTAGCTGTTGTTCCAGGAGTCTTCTGCATCTATAAATGCTCAGCATGCTGCATCTCTGCGAAGCAGTGTCACCCCCACTAAGAAGGTGGAGATGGACCGGACCATCATGCCTGATGGCACCATCGTGACTACTGTCACCACCATTCAGTCTCGGCCCAAGGCAGACTGCAAACTGGGTGAGGCTGTCCTGTGACAGGCATCTCATACAGGTGGCTACTATGGGGGCCCAGACTCAGCTGTGATACTCCTGCAGCCTCTCACATGGGCAGTCCTAAAACTGTTTAGCCATTGTGCATTGTGGTTGATGTGGGCTCACCCTGTGCATGGCGCTTTTGATTCGGAAAGTGGGGGTCATCGCCATTCCTTTAGTGTTTTGTGGCAGGTGGGATACTCGTGTATATTCTTGGAGGAGGGAATTGATGCAGCCCTGTGTCTGGGGGGAGATGAGAGAGGGACTAGCTTCTGTGGCCCAACTCAAAATCTCTGCGTAATGGCAGACTAAGCGTTTTGCCACTCTTACTCTTTTTCTTCACTGATAAATTATCTCTATGTACTGAATGTGGAGCCAAAAGCAGGTTCACCTTATTATTAGTGGTTGACAAATGTGGTGCTGGATATTCTGTGAGGTGGGGTTGGGAAAGAGCATGAGTTGGAGGTCTCATGACAGGGTTGCTTCCCATGTTTTTTTCCAATAGGTTTTTTATGTCTTCATTGGTGCAAAGCCTCATTGGATCCAGCCTCTGCAGGCTCTCCACACACTTGAGGCTTTTTAGGGGTGCACGTAGGGAGTCACAGTACAGTAGTGAAGTTGCCTAATTTTCATCTCCACTCACTGGTGTTTCTGCCTCTCTTTCACTGCGAAGATTCACCGTCAAGGTCGCCTTCTAAGGTGGAAGTGACTGAAAAGAAGACAACAGTGCTTTTGGAGGGTGGCTGTCCTCGCAGCCCCTTGCCCATCGGTACCCGTAAGTGCTCGGAAATATGAAACTCTTACTGGAGCGACTGAGTTCCTTAACCGTTCTTGGGAGAGCGGCAGTTTCAGTGCGGTTACTGAATTTGTCTGCATTTGCTGCAGAAGAGAATGTCCAAGTGCCTAAGTGAAGGCTGGGGGGAGGGGCAAAAGAAATTTGACTTTCTACTGTGACTTTGGCTGGGTGTTTCCCTGCTTGACAAGAGCATTCTAGGCTATCCAGACCCAAAGAGCTTTGCTCTACTCAGGGCTCTGATTGCCTCTGACAGTTTGTGGCCAAGGCTGCCCAAATTCTTTGGAAATCTTTGTTGAGCAGGAGGGGTATTTTAGTGATACACCTGCTGGGAAATCAAAATTTTCAGGTGCCTGAAAGAGCCAAGAGTTATATGGAGGTTCCTTCCTTTGGTTTACTCAGACAAATCCATAATAAATTATGTTCTCTACCTTTGAGTTGCCTATTACAAGCATTGTGGTCAGTAAGTGACCTCTTGCCTGTACTGAAGGTTGCTACTTCAAACGTTGATATCTTTCTTGTGCTCAGGGAATAGCCATATGCCCAATGGCTTGGATCCAGTGGCTGAGACAGCGATCAGGCAGCTAACCGAGACGAATAACAAGCCTGCCAAGAGGACCCCAACAAAACGTAGCACACTGATCATCTCGGGAGTTTCCAAGGTCTCTGGTAGTTAGAGGGCTTCATTTCCATACTGGGAGATTGTTTCTAGGGGTGCATGCATGAAACCACCCTGTCCTGTAGGGAACAGTGTGGGAAGGTTCCTTTGGAGTCAGCCACATTCCAATATATTTCAGCAAGAGTCACGATTGCACATTGATGCTTTCTAGCAGTTATGATTGGAACTGAAGCATCCCGATATACTTGTGGATGGAAGAAGGGAGATGAAGGCAGTCCTTTAGACCCTGTCTTTTTTTTTTTGTCTGACCTTCTCACCCCTTTCCAGGTACCTGTTGCTCAAGATGAAATGGCACTTTCTCTGGGTTATGCTGCATCTCTGGAGGCCACAGCGTATGGGGATTCTGTGGCAGAAGGCCCAGCCCTCCAGACGCATGATTCTATGGAATCATCACAGCTGCTGGAAGTGTCACCGTCGGGACAGAGGGCCAGTCAGGAGCTGGATGAGACAACACGATCAGACATCTCTGAGAGACCATCAGTCGAAGATGTTGAATCTGAAACTGGCTCCACAGGAGCCCTTGAGACCAGGAGCTTGAAAGATCACAAAGGTAAGGATGAACCATTAGACAGTGGCTAAAGTTAGCCTGTTGTACTTGAGGACAAAGTGAGTTCCTTTCCCAAGTGCTGGGGCTACAGCCAGCTTTCAATGTGGTGAAGAGTGGCTTCCACTTGAGCCTGGAAGAGCTTGCCTTTCTCCCGCACATCCTGCTCTTGTGTTTCCAAACACCTCTATTTGCAGGTGTCCAATTCTTGTGGTCTTTTCCGTTTCTGTGCTCTTTTAGATGGGAACCCTGTGCAGTTTGCTTGTTCCCGAGAACCTGTTTTTCACTTCCTGGCCCTCTCGGTCTGCAGATCAGGTGTACATCCATAAATAATTATTCCTCCTCCAAATTCAGCTGTCTCTGGCATGGAAATGGAGATCACCCAACAATGTGAATTGTACAGGTCTCAGTGCCCTCCCTCTTTCTCCATTAGCTTCAAAGTAGCTAGTGCCTCTGACCTGTTGTACCATAGGATGTCCACGCAAGCTCTCTGCTTTTAAATGATGGAGCAGGCTCTCTGAGCTGCTGTTCTGGACTTTATGGGCTTGTGTCCATTAGACGGATGGCGTGCCTTGGCTTTGTCTGCTTGTTGCCATGATGGCTTCATGATGGCTTCACAAACTTATATAAACAAGTTCAAGTAAAAGATCTTGTTTGCTCAGAATGCAAGACTGGAACAAGTTTTGGGGAGTTGCACCCTGGTGCAGCCAGGTACAGTTTGAAGGGTGGTGGCCTCTTGTTTGCATGTCAGCAGGTAGAAAGGTGTGTGGCTCATATTCTTGAGAGACGAGGGGGTGAAGAGGAGAAGGAAGAAAATGGAAAGCAAGCTCCCTCTGTAGGAAAACTTTGCGTGCTGTGCAGGTTCTGAATAGTTTTGGGTTTTTTTTGTACCTGTTTGGGGCTGATGGTGATGGACATCTCCATCACGTCCCACCCACGTGAGTTGTCTGGAGCTATTGCTGATACGTGTCTCCAAATTTGGGCATATCAGGAAACTGCAGGCAGTTAGTATGGAGGCTCAATGACCAGCTAATCTGGGCGTCCTTGAGACGTGCTAGTTTGAGAGGCCCTTTCCCTGTAGTGCGTTCCTCCTGGTGTCTCCACATGCAGACATTCTGGCTTGTTATCAATTCACACACGCCTTAGCTTTCTGTTACAGTTCTGCACAGTATCACTGTTGTGACATTGTTGTGTAAAAGGAAGTTTATGCAGAGGATGTTCGATGGCATGTTTAGCCAAGCAGCCTGTTAGTATTGCAGCATGTCCTGAACGTAGACTTTGCCTTGCAGTTGGGAACTCGGATTTGCTGACCTGCTGTGTGCTTCTGCCCTTGCACAAGAGGAGGTTTTTGCCACTCTCCAAGAGCAGTAAGGGTGTATTATGCCAGGGCATGTTGCTGTCATGGTTTCCCTCTCGTTCCTTTCTGTCTCTGCAGTTAGCTTTCTTCGGAGTGGTACCAAGCTCATCTTCCGGAGAAGGAGCAAGCAGAAGGAAGCGGGCCTGAGCCAGTCACATGATGACCTGTCCAACGTCACTGCCAGCTCTGCCACCAGGAAGAAAGCTGGCAGTTTCTCTCGCCGCCTCATTAAGCGCTTCTCCTTCAAGTCTAAATCCAAACCTAAAGCTAGCAATGGCAAAACAGCAGGTGAGAACTGAAGGAGGGAGAAGTCTGTCAGAAGTATTGTGCAGAGATCCTTTTCTAGTCTCTTGTCTTCCCGCTCCATGGTATCTGTGACCTGCAGTCCGGTTCCTTCCAACCTTGGCTGAGGGAAGACATGCCACTGCTTTAAACGATTTGGGAAGTGGAGGTGGCAAATCCAGGGCGTAGGCTGCTCGTCTGCCTCAGCTTAGCCTTCTCTGACTGTTGTACCCCACTGTACTCTCTAGAAAACCCAGGTGGCTTGCTAATCCCCATGGACGTTCCAGGAGCTGCAGAAGCGACTCTGCCTGCATAGCTGTCTGGGATCACCAGGTCCATCCTGGAAAGGGGGGGCAGGGTCTCTCAAGTGTCATCCTTCAGAGTTAAAGATCAAGAAACTACTGGCTTACCTACAGTGATGAGAAATGGGGGATGTAGCCTCACTCAGCTCTTCTAGCAAGAGAGAATGATGTGTTTGCCGGCCATCTAAACACTCTTGTGGCTTCTGCTTGGTGCAGAGGCTGTAACCTGACTGAGGGCTGGGGCAATGTGTTCCTGGGCCATGAGCTTTCAGGAGAACAAGCTGCAGTTCTGCACCCAGCTCTGCTGTTGGAACAGTCTGTGGTTCACCGTACTGTGGGTTGCCTTCTGTGCTGTGCTGATGAAGGAAGGAGTCTCTAAGAAGAATGAAGTTTTAACCGCTGGGAGAGTTTTTGTAGACGCCCAGGCCCTTGATAGAATGTTTGGTCAGTGCTGTTGATGCTGCTGTTCTGTGACACTGCCCTCTTTCTGCATCCATGTTCTGGAATGGGGAAGGGGCCATGCTGCACATGCACACCAGCTGTCGTGCTAGCAGAACCCTTTCCCTCGGGGTCAGTTGGGGTGTTGCTGGCGGGGTGCCAGGCCATCTTCTGGACCTGCAGAGCACCAGACCTCTCGCGTTCTTAGGATCCTCACGGCAAGGACTGGCACTATGCTGGAGATGCATGGCAAGGAATGGAGCAATGCTAGCAAAAGGGCAGTCTGATGTGGAGCTTGAAGCCATGTGGTGGAAAGAGGCAAGAGTTCACATGTTTTCACTGACGAATGGGTTTTCTGTAGTAGAAGGAGCATTTCTTGATTGCGTCTGGTATTTCCCTTACTCTAGCTAACCTAATTCACAATGTTCAAACGGTGGGCATTTCCGCAGCACGTATTTGTGGAGGGAGAGGCACTCAGGTAAATCAGCTCCTGTGCAGGAGGAGACTGCTCTTCTAGACAAACAGTTTCCCTGTCTCCTGATGTGTGCACAATGCAAATATCCCCAGAGGCCCCGTTTGGATAGTGTGATGATGGTCTTCAGAGCCACACTCATGCTGTGTTGGCAGACCTGATTTGAACGAACGCTCCTGCTCTCCTGTGCGTTGTAGAGTCAAGGAGATGGAGCAAAGGGAAGGAAAAACCTCACTGAAGAGTGATTGCCTAGGCCTGCGTGGTTTTGCTAGTTTTGCTCTTCTGTTACGGTACCTCCTGAGGTGGGAGCTGTCACCCCACCTTATGCAGGATGAGACCAACCAAAAAAGCAGTTGTTCTCTTGATGCTGTGCATGAAACAACATGTTGTGTTCTTCAGAAGGACAAATCGGGCTTACTGATGCAGCTGTTGCATGCCATTTCCAGAGCTTGAAAGTGTTTGGTATGCCCCTGCGGAAGGGTTTACAGGTGGGAATTTCACTGCATCTCTTGAAAGTGACTGGAGATAGGGAAGGTCAGAGTTGTCAGGGGCTTGGATTGAAAGTGCTGGCACGTGCCACCAGGATGGACTCTTTCCTGCTTTTCCTGCTGCTTCTCCACAAGGTTGAGCATGTGTAAGAAATGGAACTGGTTCAGCTGGCTGACCAGGAACTTCTCTAGGTGCTTGTTTTGGTCGGGCAGTTTTTCTGTCACCCTTGAGCTCCGGTTTCTTTCGCGGTCCACGTGGTACTGTGGCTTTGTTTGTAGCTTTGTGTACTACAGATGTCAGAGTGCTTGCTTTTCCTTGATGGGAGTGTCCAGTTTCTGCTGCAGCTCTGGTGGAGGCTGACAATCTGGGCCTCACCTCTAGCAATCTGTCCTGGTTTAAGCCACCAGTTTGATGTAGCCTTCTTTTGCCAGGTTGGTGCAGTGTCACACTTGGTGCTGTCCTTTGCAAACATCCGTGTTCCCAGAGCCTTGGGGTTTGATTCTAGTTTGGCATTCCCTCTTGCACCATCTCAGCTGTGACTCTGCCTCTGCCCTAACAGCACCTGATGCTCCATTTTCAGTTTTTGTGTATTGTTCTTTTGATACTGTGTCAAGGCTGCTTCGAATGGGAAATGCTGGCTGACCCCTAATCTCGAACGGAAAGGGAAGGTCACGTAGGTCTTTGGCCTCCAGAAACTGCAAAGACAGAGTCCAAGGGCATTTTGCCTCATAGAACTATTGCTTAAAGAAATCTCTTTTTTGTATTTAATCCCTGCTTGTACATCTGGCTTTAGGACAGAAGAAATGCTATTTGAAATCTACATTTCCCTGTTTAATTTCTGGACACCTGTGCCCTCACCTCTGTACTGTTGTGGGGTCTGTGTCATTTTATAAAGCCATGGGGCCATGAAGCAACTCCTGTGCATGAAGCAGGCCACCATCTATCTTTTCAGACTCAAATGATCTGCGGTTGCAAGGTTGCTGTCTCAGGGTAGGCTTGATATTTGCACCTTGTGAATACGGTCCTTGACTGAATATGTGAGGGAAGAGGAGTGGCAGAGCAGTGGGCTTGAATGCGCAGAGGCTTCTGGAGGAGTTCAACCTGCGTATGAGGGCCTGTGTTCCAAATGCTGTGTGTCACTGCTAGCTACGCAAGTAGAAACGGTGACTGGTAGATGAAGCCAAAGTATACATTTTGGGCTGGAGCTTTTTTTTTTTTTTTCTTCTATCTTGGCTAAACAGAGTTACTGTAACTTACCTATGCTGTGTATTTTTACTTCTCTGAAGAAAATAGATTTCTTTAGCTGTAAGTATATTTCTGTTTGGATACATCCTCTCCCCATGTTTTGGTAAGGCTTTTCAAGAGGTTCCCCATAGAAAAAAAACCCTTGGTATCAGCCTGTGAGAAGTATCCTCTCCAGGTGAGAGGAAACGGGCATGGGAAGAAATGGGAGGAAAATGCAAAACCTCAGTGTTTTGGGGGTGTCAGGGACTTTCGCATGGTGGATGTCTGACTCCCAGTACTTGGAAAGGGCGCTCAAAGGCCACATTTGAGGGCAGAGGGATCACACACATGCATGCGTGTTAGCATGCACTTGTAATTAAAGCATGCCTCTGCGAATACCTGTAGCAGTCATGTCTGAGAATGACAGGGAGGATTGGTGGGTTGGGAGAGTGACTTTACCAGCTTCTGTGGTGTCCACAAAGTATTTCTTACATGAACCTCCGCAGGGACAGACTTGAGCAAGCAAGTTCAACTTCTACCCCTGCAAACACCCTCACGCTGCCTATGTAGTTGAGGATGGATGTTCAGGCAGATTGGCTGAAGTAGGGGAGAGAGAAGGGATACTAATTGCATAGAGAGCCAGTCAGAAAACATTACAGAAGAGAGGAGCACAATGAAAACTTCTTCCAACTGATACAGGAGGGCCACAGACATGTGCTGTTTCTAGACTGGGAGCGTGGTAAAGCATATGCTTACAAATGTTTTAATTCTGCTTTTCTAACTTTGGTGATTCTGTTTCCTCCCTGTGATGGCTTCTCTTGGTTCACTGTTTACTAAGCCTACAGAGAAGTAATTTCTGGGTAGCTGGCAAGATGCTTGAATGTTGGATGGTTGGCATTTGCATGTTTTGGGGTCTTCTGCATTGTTCCCCCCCGCCTCAGGTCACGATGAGTGTCATGGTGGTCAAACTTCTGGAAGAGGTCTTCGTGTACGTGAAATATCAGAGCTCCTTCTACAGGCATGACAGCTCCACACTACCATTCCTTGTTCGTACAGGTACTGGACCAAATTCCCACACTGAATTTGAATTAGTGTCCCTCCTTGTGCGTGCTCTTTTGTACTTTGATGCCTTCTCTCTGGGTGGACTGTTTTAAACCCAGATTGTTTAGAGGCAAAAATACAGGAACTGTATCTATTTATGAAATTAAAATAAAATTACTTAATTTGGACTAAATGAATGAAGTTTTTGCACCTTTCTAAATGCTGAAGAATTCCATTGCTGTGTAATGGCCAAACCTGTTAACTTATTAAACCACATGGAAATCAAAACCTGACCCTGAATCTTACTGGACTGTGGCATGTTGGACTTCGTCTCTTTGGAAGGTACAGGGAATAGTTGACTTGTAGCCCTTTTTTGCAAGACAGTCCTTATTTCCTAAATGCAGATACATGGCTTTATGGTCTGAAGGACCACAGCAAGGGCTGTAGCCTTTGTGATGCTTCAGCCTTGGAAAGTGTGAGTGGCGCCCAAAGCTTTGGCTGACCCTGGACACGAGGCATTTCAGCTTGTCAGGGCGCCCGAGCAGAGCTGGGGAGAGCCCTGTCTTCTCACGTGCATCCACTTCCTCATGTTCTTCCTTGGTCTGCCGTATTGCACAGGTTGTTGCGGGGTGCCTTTCTTTCAATATCTTTCCATCCTGCCTCCCATCAATATTTTTATTTTCTCCGTCTCTGTCCTGATATGTGTGCCCCTCTTTCCATCCCAGTGTCCTTTTCCATGTCCATCTCTTTTCCTCTCTGTCCTTCTTTTTTCCCCTTGCCCCTTTCTTTTCTAGTCTGTCTCCTCCTCTGTCCATCTTCTATTTTTTCTCTGCATTTCTGTTCCTTCTGTCTTTCTCCATCTCTGTCTTGCTCTATGTCCCTCCAGTACTGACTTGAGGCATCCAAGCAGAAGAGGGAGTCTAGGGGCACTGAACTTAGCAGACTAACTCCCAGGAGCTAAATGCATTAATAAATGATTGCTTTCATTTCGCACTCACGACTATGGCTGCACACCCTGGGTTAGGTCTAAGTGCAGCTAGTGAGGCTAAGA